GCTGACTGAACTCTTGGCTGAATCCCGGACTGGCTATCGGACTTGCTTTGATTAACCTACGCTCCCTGGCCCTGCCTTGACAGCAGTCTGGAGCTGCACAGGATCTTGAACTGCCCAACTGCCCATTTTACGATTACAGCAGTTATAGTCTGCGCAGGATGTGAACTGCTCCACTTGGTGTGTGGGGGGGATTAGAGGGAACATTGTGTAATCTATATTACATTTTAAAAACATGACATTATTTATATTTCCAAAAACATATGCTATGAACAAGTAACCATACGGTTTTAAAAATGTAATTTTTTTCACTCATAGCCTCAGTCAAAGAAACGGGACTCTGTAGGAGGAGGGGAAAGAGATCGTGAACATCTTCACAGAGACAATCTGAGTAAATATTTAATTTCTGTATGAAGGAAATATTTTGCCCCCTCTGTCTTTTCCTCACAAATTAGGTTGTGTGACTGGCCCCAGGTCACATAACTCTGGTCTCCCCAGTCTTAGGCCAATACTCTTAACAACTACACTACTCACACACTAGATACTTTGCAAATGCATCTCAGAATGTACAGTAAATACAAAGTAAATACTGGCTTCTCAGATACCCTGACCTGAAATTATTGGAGCACTTCTATATTTGGTGAACCACTTTTATCTCCTCCCCCTTCCCATGTACAGATGCAAAAAGACATTTCTTCCCCCCCCCCAAAGCTGCAAGCCTTAGGATACCAAAATCACCTTAACTTCCAGCATTTAAGTCACGAGCTTTATGACGAACCCCTGAATCTCCTCAGCTGTCTGGCAGATTTCTCCTGCCAAATCTTCTGTTTCCCTCAGCGACTGAGTTGCCCTACAGTAGCGTGTATATATTCTTTGTAAAAAAAAAAAAAAAAGACTTCACTGTCCCACCCTATGTTTAGATATTTAGTTTAGGCTTTCTCTCAGCTCAGGAGCTCTACTGAAGATACAGGAGCTGTCCCATTTTCTTTAAACTCTTGAGAAATGGAACTTGAGGCAAATTAACTTTCAAAATCAGAATAAAGATTTTATTAAACAAGCAGGGAATATATGTATAAATGGAATAGTCAAGGTTTTGAGATTGCTAAGGTAAAAACTTCCTAATATATACAAAGCTGAATTCTTAGAACATTCAAGAGAGTGTATTTGTAGTTTTGTTTCCAGGCTTTCTATTTCTTTCCTTCTTTGAAAGGTACATTGGTTAGTATAATTCAGCACTAACACAGTTCTTATTGATATGTCTAGATTTCTTCCTTCAGATATTACAGGTTTTCCTTTAGATAATACAGCTTTTCACTAGCTCCTGAGGTGTCTACGCTTCTCCCCTTTTCCTCTTCCCAACCCCTTTCACTGGCAGGAAGTTAACTCCTTTTACTATTTGGCTCATATGGGAGTTCTCTCTAACTACCCAGACTGTCTGCCAAATCTTTCTCCAGTATCTTTTGTCTGTATAAAGTTGTTCTGTAGCTTTTCTGACTGATAAAATGAAGTTCTCCCTCAGAGCGATTTTAATATCTCTCTGACACTGGGGTTCTCTTCTTCTTCTTCTTGTAAAAGTACTTTTCTGCCTATTGCCTGTCAGAAAACACTGACTCCCAAATGTCTCTTCCCTCAGAAGCCAAACCCTCTGTGTACTGATTCAGACGTTAGATATCAAAAGACCCAACTGCACAAGACCCAACTGCACAAGACCCAACTGCACAAGACCCAACTGCACAAGACCCAACTGCACAAGACCCAACTGCACAAGACCCAACTGCACAAGACCCAACTGCACAAGACCCAACTGCACAAGACCAAAGGCAGAAGTCCTAATTGCTAAAGACCTCTTTCCCCTCCAGATCAGCTGTTTTATTTTCTCTCTTAGCTAATGCTGGCCAATCAGAGAGTGAGCAGAGCAGCTAATCTCCTAAACTCTTCTCTCCAGGGAAGATTAACTCTTGAACTCCCTGACTCTCTGATACAAGCAGCATCTTAAAAAGCCCACTTTTCTGTGCAACTCCAACATAGACCTCTTCTCCCCCTGCCCCCGTGACTAGGGAGGCTCTCCATAGGTTGCCACCATTCTGGTATGGGTCTCCTCAGGAGGGTTCAGAGCACCCACCTGACCCCTTATGCACTCTTTCACAATAGGGTATACTTTATACGTGACCGAACGAGGCATGAGGACCCAGGCAAAATAATAAGCAATTTCATTTAAGATATCTAGTAACAACTGAAATTCAAGTACTGTGTAAAATATTGAAAATAGTAAAGGTAGGTAAGCAAACAAAATAAAACACCCTAACACGTCTACCCAGACTGTTCCCAGCTGTCTCTTGGTAACTTCAAGCCACAAATGGACCACAGTGACTAACCAAAGGTTGCACCCCAACAATGTTCACTGTGAACAAAATTGATTCTATTCCAATTACAATCCACAAACTTGCTTCTTCTTTTGTTCCTTTATTTTGCATCATGCAGTGCTTCTACTGCTTCCAGACAATCGCTACGTGACAATGGATGTCCTAGGTACATATTCCGTTTCCCCCATTGCTTCATCAGGTCGCTTTTTTATACATGGAGCCGATGCTCTAAGCCTTCTACTCAGAGTTAACCTTGTGTTTCCTTTTGGCATCTGCTGGCTCTCTTGGTGATTGCCTTCAAGCTGGCTCACCCCTTCCTGGATGAGGGATAACTCCGTCTGCAGCAGCCTCTCCTTAGCCCTACGCCCTAGGAGTGAACCACCTCCAACTTTGGGCAAGGCCTTTTATCTCTTCTTCCTAGGCACCACCCTCTACTCCTCTACTGGTACAAATTTTCCCTCCAAATCCCCTGTTAACCATCACAGGCTCCAATGGAGACCTGGGAAATGTAGGCCCTGATAGCTACTCTAGTACAGGTTTCCCTGGAGCCACAAAGCCTCCCTAGAGCCTGTAGGCCACACTACTATAGGCCTAGGATCATGACCCCCCCAACACACATGGCTAAAGACAGAAAAGTCCCATTTCTCCCCCCCCTTAATTCTGCAGGCCCCATAGGGTTGCCAAATGGTACTCACCTCCTCGGCGGGGGACTCCTGGGGATCTCCTGGTGCGCACGTGCGCGTGACGTATCTACATCACCCGGATGTGACGTCGCACGCTGGGGGCGGGGCCACAGCCATTTGAGGGGAAAACTATGTTTTTCCCTCAAATGGCTGTGGCCCCGCCCCCAGCGTGCAACGTCACATCCGGGTGATGTGCACGGGGGGGTGGGGTTTCCCCCGGGCAAAAAAAAGCCATTTGAGGGGGAAACTCTATGTTTTCCCCTCAAATGGCTGTGGCCCCGCCCCCAGCGTGCAACGTCACATACGGGTGATGTGCACGCGGGGGTGGGGTTTCCCCCGGGGGCCGATTCTGTCACGTCAGAAATCGGGCCGCCAAAGCGGGGGATTCCCCGCCCCCCGGCCCCATTTGGCAACCCTAAGGCCCCAGGAAAACCTTAACTTCCAGTGCTTTGTCTGTCAGTGATACACAGAGGTTGAAAGTAGGGACATAAGGAAAATTTTCCAAAGATCCCAAGGGAAAAGGAAGGCCATACAGTGGAGGGGTGCTCCTATTTGGCAAGTAAATGTCCCAATGTCCCCAGAAAAGAAAGTGGAGTTGGCAGCCTATGTGCGAGTGCAGAGGATGAGATTACACGGGTTAAATCTAAGCAGTTTTATGATGCTACCTGGTATCCCAGGGGGCATTGCCCCATCTGGGAAATCCCAGGGTGACTTGAGCCCTGCCACCTTCCCCCCCAGTTTATGCCCCTGGTTCTGGGAGATATTGAGACAGACAGACCTTTGGAGATAGTCTTGCAGTCTCATCCTCCTCTAATGCAGCCTGGTAAGATGGCTGCTGGAAGAAACAGCTTGGGTGGGGAGAAGACAAGTGCTAATTAGTCCCAAGTAGCCCTGATGGATTGGAGCTGCGGTGACTCAAGTGGTTAAGACGCTGAACTGCAGGCTGTGGAAGGTCAGTAGCTCAGCAGTTCGAGACCTGGGTGCCGCATGACGGAGTGAGCTCCCATCTCTAGTTCCAGCTCCTGCCAACCTAGCAGTTCGAAAGCAAGAAATTGCAAGTAGATAAATAGGTACCACTTCGGTGGGAAGGTAACAACGTTCCGTGCGCCTTGGTGTTTAGTCATGCTGGCCACATGACCACGGAAAGGTCTTCGGACAGCGCTGGCTCTTCAGCTTTGAAACGGAGATGAGCACTGCAACCCTAGAGTCGGATTCGACTGGCTTTCAAGCAAGGGAAACCTTTACTTTTACCTTAGCCCTTATGGAAGGAGCCTTAATGTCTCACTTCACCCCACAGATTCAGTAGCTTTTAATCACTTATTATAAAACTGACATTCATTTCTGTCATCCCGAAACAGTAACTATTATTTATTTTAAACAGTTATATTCCACACTTTCATATGAAGGTTTGTGAGGCAGCTTAAAACAGTAAGGAGATACTAAAAGAAGTAAGGCTGTAACACAACAAAACAAAAAATAAGAAGTAGCAAAAAAACCCAAAAGAAAAATGCAATAAAACGATTTTTTTAAAAAATCAGATATAATCTGAAGCAGCTCTTAAAACCCTAAAACAGCCAATCTGGAATCAGGAAAAGCCTCTTAAAAGCATGGATAAAAGCACGGCAATCTGATAAATCAGAAAACTTCACAGAGGAAGGGAAATCGAAAAGGCCAAGGGGGAGGGTGGGAAATATCTTTGGCCTGGCACTTAAAAGCTTGTAAGTTTCTATATCGAGGGAGTACCAGACCTTATACCACTACAGAGAACACTCTACAGAGAACATTACAAAAAGAAAGGCCACCCATTTCCGGGTCTCTGATGATCTTGACTTGCGTGCAGGCTCAGGTAGGACGAGGCATTCCTTTTGACACCCTGAAATCTATCTTGGGAGCAGATATACATGCATTTCTGTTCAGACATACATCAGGGAAGAATTGGAAATATTTAAATATTTTTCTAACCTCTCCTGGGACTTTCATGGTTGAAGAGAATACCATTCACAGCGAAGAGATTGTAGGCCTCCCTGAAGTTCACTACAATCCAGTAAGCATATAGTTTGGCTGCCCCTGAAACGATAATTTCATTTACTGAAACACCTTCAAAGAAACTCTTATTACTATTCGGTCACTTGGCCTTTGCATATCACATTTTCCTGTTAAGCATTATCAGTACAACAAGAGGGATGGACAAAACAGCAGCAGTTATCACCAGCAAGTATTCTGGGACTTATTTATTTCCTCTCAGCGGCTTGCTCAAGTTCATATTCAGGATAGCATTTTTTTAAAAAAAATACACACATGCAGGGCTATTTTGGGGCAGGAACGCACAGGAACGGAGTTCTGGCTGGCTCCCAAGTTGGCCACGCCCAGCAGGAACTCATTAGAATAATAGGCCACACCCAACAGCAGAAACCCATTAGGATTGGCTACATTAGGGGTGTGTGGCCTAACATGCAAAGGAGTTCCTGCTACAAAAAAAGGCCCTGGGTTTTGACAACAAACAAGGTAAACAGAATAACAAGCAAAAGGTGGGTGTGGCTGGATGACCACACTTCTGGTAACATGGGGGTGTGGCCTAATGTGCTAATGAGCTGTGCTGTCAGGGGTGTGGCCTATAATGCTAATGAGTTTCTGGTGTTGGGTGTGTCCTATTATGCTAATGAGTTCCTGCTGGGCTTTTTCTACAAAAAGAGCCCTACACACATGGCTAGAATATTTAAATATATTGCTGGGATTGGGCTGCCATTTTTCCGCTGGGGGGGGGGGGGCAGGGTGCCTGTTCGCCCCCGGCTCCTGTTTCCTCCTGCTGCTTCTGCAGCCAGTAGGAGGAAGAAATGTGGGGGGACAACCCTGCTGTCCAGAAGTGTGAAATCACTGCCGGGGGAATCCGGAAGTGACACCAGTCTACCCTAAGACTTGTTGGCAACTCCGAGGTTTTATATAGAACTTCCAGAGTTTCCTAGAGAAGCGTCATGACAGCACTTCCGGGATTTCCCTGGAGGTGACATCACTGACAGTCAATGCTCCCTCTAAGCTGTGGAGTCTTGTGAGCAGACATTCTGCTTTGTGAGCTACCGGCATTAAAGTTGTGAGTGAGCAATTTGGCTGCTGTGTCAATCAGTTTGCTCTGGAGCCATCCCTTCCTGAGCCAAGACAAAAATGGTTGAACTGGAGGCCAAAAAACTGAGCTAGCACGCACTAACTCAGCTTAGAGGGAACACTGCTGACAGTGCCCCCTATGACTCTGCCCCCCAGACTCCCGCTGCCAAGCCATGCCTGGCAACCCTATACCAGGGTGCCTTTTGATGACCTCCCCTCCAATTATTGGAGAGGGACAGGAGAAAAAGTATAGGAAGAAAATCTCTGATCTTAAAACTCCCCAATCGGTTTGAAGGTCAAAGAAGGCGGGGACGGCAAAGGATGAGATAGTTAGACAGTGTCATCGATGCAACGAACATGAAGTTGAGCAAACTTCAGAGGACGGCGGAAGACCGGAAGGCCTGGCGGGATCTGGTCCATGGGGTCGCGAAGAGTCGGACTCGACTGTGCGACTGAACAACAACAATCGGTTTGAAACTTCGGCACAACAGTATTCGTCACAGACCAGTTTCTCTTGCTCCAGGTAAGAAGTAAGAAGTATAATTGCTTTGAGATCAATAAAACTGTGTTAATAATCTAAGCAACAGCTAGGCAATGGACAATTAGTGAAAGGCAATACTTTTTAATCTACAATTTTAAAAGTGTCAAAGTATCAAAAGAGAATAAATATAAAACTTCTGACCAGACCTGGGTAGCCTAGGCTATCCTGATCTCGTCAGATCTTGGAAGCTAAGCAGGGTCGACCCAAACTAGTAAATGGATGGGAAACCTCCAAGGAATACCAGGGTCGTGACACGGAGGCAGGCAATGGCAAACCACCTCTGAATGTCTCTTGCTTTGAAAACCCTACAGAGTCACCATAAGCCAGCTGTATATAGAACAGATGAAAGGCTCATGCATTTTAATCTTCCGTGCAAATGGCCTCAGTTCTAACAATCCAAAGTTATAAACTACAGCTGCAGCACATAAGTAAAGGTTCAGAATGGGTTGAAATATCTAAATCTGCGATGCTGCACTCCCATTTGCTTTCCTTGGGATATCACTGAGCCCGGCTCAACACAGCCCGCTCTCTGCCTTATTGAAGGAATGCATTTTTAGAAAAATATGGAGATAATACGTGAGCAGAGGCAACATGCATACAGCCTCGTATACTTACCATATGGCGATCTGGGATAAAAGGGGGTAGTCTCTTTTTGTGGTATTTCTTGCACTTTCCCAAAAAGTTCGCTAGTTGAGGCTTGGTAGAACTTCACGGAGGTTATAAGACCACAAGTCTTGATAGCATCCAGGAGTCGTAAAGTGCCGATGCCATCTACATCAGCTGTATATTCTGCTAAATCGAAAGATATCTGAAAAGAACAGAAACAACAAAGAAAAATACAAAAATTTAGGCACTTTGCAAAATGTGGCACTTAGGGTTTCCACCATGCTCCTTTATGTATTTATTTACTTATTTATGTATTTATTATATTGAAGGCTACATCTTACAAAGAAAATATTTTTAAAAGGCTCTATAGGTAGCATTGGTCACCAGATAAAGTAGCAAAATGTTATAAAAACGCGTCGGGTAACTGCTGGAGATGCAAGAAAAATATTGGTTCTTACTTCCATATTTGGTGGAGGTGTGAGAAGTTGTCTAAATTTTGGAAAACAATACAGAAACTAATAGCAGAAATAGTAGAAATAGATTTAAAGCTAGACCCAGAAGTATATCTCCTTAATATCTTACCAGATGGGATAAAATATAATGATTTGTGTGTGATATTGTATATTCTCACTAGTTCTAGAATCCTCTTAGCGAAATGCTGGAAATCAGAAAAAATTCCAGATAGAGAAGAGTTAATTACAAAAATTATGGAAATTAAATAAATGGATAAACTAAATATGATATTGTTGGCAAAAGATGAAAATCTATTTAAAAAAAGATGGCAGAAATTAGATAGATGGATGGAAACAAATGTGTAAAGAATCTCCAAAGGATACTTTGTATTAAGAATTTGTGTTTGAAATTTTTGTTTTGGAAAATACGTAAATAAACTATTTTTAAAAAATTATTTATTTATTAGAATTTTTTTTACCCTGTCCTCCCAGCCGAGGCTGGCTCACTTTACAACACTGACTGGCTGCCCATAAACTATATATTTCATTCACATTAAATAAGGAACTTTCAATAGCCTAAATAACTCTGTCTTCTTCAGAAAATATATATATATTGTCTACTGATACATGTGCTAGAGTGTCTTTGCAAATTCCTGCAGGGAAGTGTTAGGCCCCTGGGAAGCCATTTTGGAGGGGCTTCTGTTCACATATAGCTGCTCCTTTTTTGACATTCCATTCCAGTGCAGCGAGGAATGCTTCCCGTCCTGTGTCTGGATTGCGTTCTCAGGTTTTTAGGACATGGCAAATAGGTACAATGCAACAGTATTCAGTGACCACGCCTGCCAATTTCTCGAGCAAAACCTGTAGAAACAGGTGGAATCCTACCATTTTTTTAAAAAAAAATGGTAAAATGTTATTGATCGGGGCAGATCCTGCTCAGTAAGAGTGTTTTTTAGGTTAATATAGAACAGGATCCATGATAAAAGCTGTGCTTTACCTGATCAATTTTTACTAAGATACTTTACATGGAAGAAAAGACTGTTATTATCAGTATATCAGCACATGTATAGCATCTCGAACGGCACACCTTCTGACCAGCACACCTCAGTTTAAAATAACATCAATCTAAAGATAGTATTAAGTTGCAATTTTTTGCAATATGACCAAAGAGAGTATTTTAGCTTAATGTAACTCCTTTACTATAACGTCACTTCAATGAATATCTATCATTCCAGCTTAACAACACTTTTTAAAGATTTTCCCAGGGCCGAACTCTTTAACACCCGAATGGCTGCTATAAAGTCAACAAGTAAAGCTTTTGCCAGCATTACATTTCAATGACAGAAAACCTTTACTTACTGAATTCTTACTTATCTCACATCTGGTAGAGGCACAAGAGCCTTTGGGTGGGTGGGGGGGAGCCTGAATCAGACTTCCTGAGAAATGGTTTTTATTATAAAAGCACATACTGCAATAGCTGTAGGGGAAAATGTCCAGATGTGAAGGCACTGTCTGTTCCTTGCCCCCCCCCCCCCCCCCCCCGATCACTCTGGTCTTTGGATCGCAATTCAATTGCAAATCGTGAATGGAACCTTCAAACTTTGAAAAGAGTGTTTTTTGAATACGTAAAACCAGATCACAAATGCTTTGCTCGTGCACCTTCTCTCGTTGCATCCCTCATCATCCAATCCAATAAAATAAATCCAATAAAATAAAACAGGTGCTTCAGTTCTGACTTCTCTGCCTACTGGAAGGAGGGAGCTGTGTGGCTCGTTGACTTTGCCAAGCTGACTCAGTATTCAGGTGTGGATTGCAATTACTTTGCACATGTGTGTGCTAGCGCTGATTTGCCACAGCTGCTCTCTCCCACCCATTTGCCCAGTGCACCCAGAAGGAAAACATCTGACAAAAGAAAAGCTTCTTTTAGTCTTCTCAGTCCTGCTGAGGGTGGGAAAAGCGACATGACTTTTCTCTCTAGTATTCCAGCTACGGATGCCAGTCTCCGGTGGGGCCTGGGGATCCCCTGGAATTATAGCTCATCTCCAGACTACAGAGATCAGTTGTTCTGAAGGGATAATAATAATAATAATACTTTCCATTTATTAATCGCTTTCCCTAGTGGGCTCAAAGCGATGTACAGTTACTCAATATAGACAAGGGACTAACAATGTTTGTAGGGGATAGGGAAGACAACATATATTCATTTTTAATTGCACGTGCCGTCACTGCCTGGTATAGACGTCTTCTGGCTTGTCTCCATCGTTTTCCGCATGGCTGCTTGTTGGCCAGGCTTCAGGACCCGTATTTCAATCGCCACACTGCCGCCGCCTGGCCGGAACATCCATTGCAGGGATTCTTTCATAGCCGAGAAGCTGTTTCGCCTTCCAAGCCTCGACCAGGACGTCCGACCGTCAGCTAACACCCTCCCACAAGGGAGATTGGCGTGCCCACTCTAAGAAGTGGTTCCCATTTTATCTACTCGCCAAAACTTTCGAATCGCTGGGTGGACGATGAGCTGGGGACAACAGGCTGGCTGCTCACACCAGCGTGGGGCTTGAACCAACACAGTTCAGATGTTAAGACAGTGGGATATACCCACTGTGCCACCGCTCCCCCAAGCTCTATGCTTTGGGGGGTGGTAGACTCTATGGTATTCTACCCCACTGAGGTCCCTGTCCTCCCCAGACTCCACACCCAAATCTCCTGGAGTTTCCCAACCCGGATCTAGCAACCCTACTGCCCGTCCTCTGCTGGTGGTCAGGGGGGACCTGGTGACCCTAGTTCCAGCCCTGTCCATTTTATATTTTCATTTAGCAAATTCCAGGTATGCACCAGCAAAATAAATGCCACCAACGAAGCGGGTGCAAAAGTAGCACACTCTTAACATGCTCGATTTTACATTATGCAGCTAAGCTGCCCATTATGATCCTGGGTGTGTGCAATTCCAGCAAGTCAGTGAATTGTGAGTGTGCATCGACAGTAAGTATGAAATAGCCACAACTAGGCAGACATAAAACTACAAAATACTATTTGCCTTCTGTAAGTCAGTTATTGAGGAAATCATTCATATGAGGTGCTTGATTCAAGGGCATTCCAAACACCTGTTTTGGAGAATGCCACATTATCACTCTCAGAAACCGCACAGGGCTTAGGATATATGCCCAAGTAAGGGCTGAAGCTGAGTGGAGCAGCACATAATTGTACGTAAGAGGTCCCATAGTATCATCCATCTTACTCACTCCTCGAATATCACGTTGGGGAAATCTCAATAAGAAAATGAACTTAAGCCAAGAAAGAACTTGAGAACTTAAAAATTTCTTTAAGTCATGACTAACAGCCAATTTTGTCTAAATCAAGGTAAGCATTGTCCTATTAGGGCTTGCAAACACTGCATAACCCCCATTCCTTCCCCTGCAATTCTTTGTAAAATAGTAGGTTAGATATAAACTCCCCCCCGACAGAGTTTGCATAAACAGATCTTTATCTTTATCTATTTTGTTTTGTAATATGTCCACCTTCTGTTCCTCCCCAAAAGCCGCTGTTAAGCCATGAGGGGCTTCAGTAAGGAGACAGAAATATATTATCACAAGGGGGGGACCCGCGATACTCGCGGGAGAGGGGGAACTCCACAACTATGAGGAAGAGGAGGAAGCAGCAGGAGGAGGTAAGTTCCCCCCCTATCCCGCCGGTTCTCCTATCTCCTCCACCCCCTGGCTCAATTACCCCCCTGCCCTGGAGCGCCCCCCCTCCAGAGGCCAGGTCTACCCACCCCTTCCCACTATATTGGCAGACTTGGCCTCCAGAGTCCAGGTCTACCCACACCTTCCTACAACAGTGGTAGACCTGGCCTCCGAACTCCGCAGGCCAGGTCTACCCACCCATTCCCACTACAGTGGTAGACCTGGCCTCCGAACTCCGCAGGCCAGGTCTACTCACTTCTTCCCACTACAGTGGTAGACCTGGCCTCCGAACTCCGCAGGCCAGGTCTACTCACTTCTTCCCACTACAGTGGTAGACCTGGCCTCCGGACTCCGGAGGCCAGGTCTACCACCATAGTGGGAATGGGTCGGTAG